GTCCAGAAACACCCAACGGACAGAGTTCGCAGAGTCATTCAAGGATTTGGTAATTTTATGCAAAAGAGAGGAAACTGCATCTAGCGTGCCTCTGTTTGGTTTATAAGCAAACTGAAGAGGATCATATGGGACATCAATGAAGGACTGAATGCGCTTAAGAACAACACGTTCTGCTAGTTTAAGTTCAACAGAGGTTAAAGCAATAGGACGAAAGTGTTTAGTTAGAACGTTTGAAGTAGAGGATTTAGGAATGAGAACAATTGTTACTGGTTTCCAAAAGTCAGGTTTTTAAGGAATTGTTCAAAAACGATGCGAATACTTCACTGAGAGAATAGGCCTTATATCTCAGAAAGGAAGATGGAAGACTGTCGGGACCAACACTGCATGTGGTTTTCACGGTACGTAAAAGCTCAAGAGTTTCTTCTTTCGAGACGGCCTAAACTTGAAAGGCATAGTCCAGAAAAAATGGCGTGATCGCATCGCTTGATGGGTGGATAAATGCTGCATTAACACTGTCCAAATCTATTATACAATCTGGCGTTTTGGATTTGGTTCCACACAGCAATTTGATACCTTGCCAAATTCGCTTGCTATTGTTACATTGCAGAAGCAGGGAGAGGTGTTTTACTTCAACTTCGATCAAGTTGGTGCAACGCTTGACAGCCGCTGAGTCTCTAGTTTTGTACGATCGTTCCTTCTGTCTTCTGAATGATTTCAGCAGTGGAAATGCTATTCTGCCATTACAAACAAATAAAGTTTCAAAAGGGCAGCATACGTTAACCGTGTGGTTAAGTGCTTCAGTGAATAAGTTGACTGCATTGCGTAAATAGGGATAAGAAAACCACGAAGAAACGACAATGATGGGACGCTGAAGAAGAAGGGTGTTTCTTGGGGAGAGATTGCGAAGACGAACGGTGATTTGATTGGTTCTTGTGAGTGTATTGTGAATGGAACGAGAGTACACTGCGGGTCTTATAATAATCGATCCGATCTCATGTCTATCATAAAGGGGCTTCAGATAATGTTCGCCTAAGTGAACAGGAAAATTTAGTGAGTATGGATCTCATCCCTCGCACTGTGCATTCCCTTAAGGCAAGTTTCAAAAATAAACTTAACCCTATGCACAATAAGTCTGCTCCATTTTACCCATTGCTTATTACAAACCACAAAAAGCGTTAGGAGGGGAAAGTGGATTGGAAAAGACCACTTTAATCAGATGACTGACTTACCTGCCCCAGATAGTTGGTTTACATACTATATAGAGCAATGTGTTACATAGATGTAATGTGACCATCCACACCAAAGATGCAGGTTATTTTACGACAATCCAACATCCAATGAGGGGAACGGCTTGGCAAGGTGATGGTAAGCACCAAGAGGAAGAAATCT